GCATTTTGTTAGAGGGCGAATGGGTAATAGTTGCTTCAAATTTGAATTCATTGTAACATGAGCCACAAATAGAATTTCAAACTAAAAGGAATGAGGTAGTAGATGACCAAATTGCACTCCTCGGAACTGTTTGACTTTCAGAAAATACCTTTTAGCCGTTAATAGAACATGTTTTGAAGAAAGTAAGCAGCTGATCGAGCTTAAAGCCTAAAGTAAATAAAGGACGCCGACATATTTTGAGAAAAGTTTTTTCTTATACTGTGGGATATCCGTGGTCTAATGATTTCTAATCTTTCTATATCAGAATTAGAATGATCCTGTCCAGTTGGTATCTTGCACTGGCCACAAGACCGTGTGTTAAACTGTTTACATGTTTGCTCCGTAGAAGTATAGAGGGGAAGGTATGTTTGCGCAGGCTAATTCTGTCGCGTATTAGTTATGAGTTGAAAAGTTCGCTGAGTGCCTTCGCTGATAGCGCCCTTCAGATAGCGTATCGTATTTCAATTTTTGTCAATTAGCCAATTAGCACGAGGCTGGAAAGGCATTCATAGCCGACCTTCAATTTTTTCCTCAAGTTAGCTGTTGTCAGTAGAGCTGCGCAGATTTTAAAAGAGAAGAGAGAGACAGTGGAAGACAGCCATTCTCCTATCTCTCCGTCATTATACTCAGAGTGTCTCATGCCCTAAGACTTCTTCCTTTTGGCAAGCCCTCCTTTTCATTATAATTTTTTCCCTGCGCTACGGTGCACCGTTTAATCCGGTAAAAAATAATTTTACGCGAGAAAATGAGTACATGGGCTTTCTCAATTGAAACGGGCGTTTCCCCCTCCTCCCCCCCCCCCCCCCCCCCCCCACGTAAACGACTCCGGCATTGGAAATTTGAGAAGTACTTTTTACTGTCTTTGCAACGTGACCATGGTGCGTTTTGAGAAACAAAACTGCTCAAATGGTACACAATGCAAAGATCGATAGTTTCATCTACACCTGCCTAAAGCTGTAATAAGATGGAAAGAAATCGATGTGGTGTGGTTATTTATAGAGCGAAGTTATCTTGCCAATAAGCTATGAATCTCACTCTCACGAACTTTAACAAACTTTAAATGAAGTACTTTTTAAATTCTAGATACGCCTTCATCCAAAGCTTCAAGTTCGATCAAATTTGTGCCCATTTTTCTTGAGTGTTCTAATATTCCAGAGAGATATGCACCCAGAGGTGGGGATTCCAAATCCCCTGATAACTTTGGATTCTTTTTCACTTTTATTGGCATTAAATCAAAAGTACAAGCAAACAAAAGTCTTAAGATTTTATGCCCCTGTAGATTTAAAACAAATTAATTCTGGGCGCTTTACGACACATTTGCAATCCAGAAAGAATCTCACTAACGACTTAACTCATTGCTTGCCCGAAAATCTCACACATAATAAAAATATGTTCCTGATCGAAGATCTGGAATGATTGAATTAATCGAACTGAGGTATATAGCGATTATGTTCAAAAGCTGTAAGGAGCCAGTCAACTCAAGGTAAAGATGTCAGTCTGATAATAACTTGACATAACGAGGATATTTATATGAAAGTTGTCTTGTTTAGCTTCCATCAGTCGAAAGATGATGAATCTAATGAGAAAGACTAAAGTTTGATGTTGGAATTATTGAATGAACAACGTCAAAACTTGATATGTGGTTTATCAATATTTCTTCTATTGAATGCTGGTTACTGATTTGCAACGTTAACACGTCCCAATAAGACATGACTGAGCATTGCCTTGATCTTCATTTGATTTTAACAATCACTTAACAAAACCCCATGTACATGTTAGGTCAGAAAGAAGTGAAATGCTGAAGCAATTTTGAAGATCGAGCCTTCAATTGTTCTAGTTTGTCCTTAAAACTATTAAAGTATCTTCAATATTGAAAGCCTTCATTCAATAGGCATGAGCATTTTAATTTTTACTGCCTTCCCTTGAACAGACGACTTCTTTCATTTTGAGAATGGTGGCAGTAGTGAATTGTAGCAGATGCAAAACCACTCGTTGAGAGTGGATTCATTGCAAAAGCAGGAAAAAAAATGAAGGTGTAGAGATGGTTCAAAAAGCACGTGGTCTTCTAGGGGAGGGAGAGGGAGAACTGGAGGGTGAGAGAGGAGAAGGTGCGTGGCGGTTGGCTCTGTGGGCAGTGTTTGTGCATGGAGCATGATTAATCGGCCTTAAAGGAATACACTCATTCAAGAGATAGGGATGGGTTGACTGCCCTTTGATCCCGCACTCAGTCTGCCGCGATGACTACTTCTACTACTACTACTACTAACAATTTCTCCCTCGTCTTTCCCTTATTTGACATTTCCTAAGCAAATATACCTCGCTTTCTTTATTATTTTCTCGTGGTAAATCGAATTTGGATTTTAAATTCATCATTACAGATTGATGTTAACTGATTTCGTTGGAGAACACCGCCCAGAAAGACATTCAAGAATTTGGTACTTAAAGAATTCTTGAAGCCATTTTAAAATAAAGTGGTTATATCAGGATTAAGTAGCCTGTCACCTATCTGATTTTACTCCCTTCTTTCTTGTTAATTATTATTACCGAAATTTTGAATAAAATACCATGTATTGGCCAGCATGCTTATATACGAAATTGCACATTTTATAAGCAGATGTCTGAGTTCAGTCTGTATCCAAACACAGTGAGGAAAAAAACTGTGTCTTAGCTGACAAAGTTGTTCAACATTTTCGCGAGCGTTAAATTGCATTTAAATGCTAAGGGTAAATGTGTCTAGCTCCAAAGAAGGCAGAGAACATCTCAGACGGACATTGGATACTCATTTTCTTTCATTAGGACTTGAACACCTCCAAGGCTACTAAAGACACTGCGGAAATTTATGGTGGCCGATATGAGTCTTGGCTAACATGATTTTAATCAGACAAAGGAATCTAAAATGATGACTCAAAGCAAATTTTGACAATGATGTATTAAATTCCCTGGTTCAAACAGATTCCCAATTAACAATAGAATAGTTACCGCAAGACTTCACATGCCACTGGTCAACTGGGTAATTCAAATTGAAGCGCATCTGTAAATCGAGTAGTCATGTGATTTGAGTGCATCACATCAATTCCTCCAGTATGGCAAGGATAAATGGACATACCCTTTTTATAGCCTTTTTATATCAAATTGGTAGGGGTGACAAAAAGTGGATCAGTTAGCCCCAACACTAGTAAGGGAAAACAATGGCTGTCTCTAAATCAAACACCCATTCAATTTCTTAAGACATGGTTGACCTTTCGGAAACCTCTTCTAGGCATTTGGTGGGATGTAGGTAGAATTACCTTTTGCCAATTATTAAAATCAGGTGGAACAGTTGCAGACGAAATTTACTGCTGTCAACACTTTCTAAAGGCTAAATGAGAAATTAGAAGGTGAGCGTATATGACAGGTCTCACGATGCAAGAACAATCTCCCAAAAATTTAGGAATAGAATTTGGATATAATAACAAATTTAAAATATTTACCAGAATTCGGCCTATCACATTATCACCTTTTAAGGCCCATGAAGAAAACTCTAAGAGTAAAATTACTTCGCATGTGACTAAAGCTGCAAGCCACATGAACGCATGTTTTACTTCAAAAGCCCCATTTGTTCAAAGAGGGGATCGAAAAATCACGAGGAACTAATAGTATATGGTACCAAATAAGAAGTTTAATGATAAACATTAGTTTAATGCTTATTTTATGCAATCGTGATTTCCTATTGGTAACTATTTTCTAATGCCATAATTAATTAGTAAAAAGTCACTAGAAAAAAGTAAGTTTAAGTTATTTGATTTCAGTTCAAAACGATAGCACATTTAAACAAAAACCAATTAATTTAATTTGAAACACTGGGCCAATACTTCTTTCAAAGGTGAAGGGGGCAATTAGAGATTCTAAATTTGAAACTGACAGTTTCAAAGGAGTGAAGTAAACACGATATTTTCTGAATTCGTATAATCGGAAAAGAAGTATTTGCGATTTTTACAAGCATAACCGTTTTAAAATCATAATACAGAAAGCAACAACCTTACAGGCCATTTTCAAATTTGAACATCATTGATTTAAAATCATTTTATAGATATAAGTCGAGAATTAAGCATTCATATATTGAAGCTGCAGAAATGGGAGATAATAGAAGGGAAAAGTTAGCTATAATGATTAATCTTTTTTGCGAGTTAATTCAAATTAACTTTGACACTTGGTAAGAAGTTGGCTTCCCAAGTTCTACAGAAGACAGTGGTGCTTGGGATGAGGCTTCAATATTTTTGAAAGAATTACCCAAAATTAGAACATTCGAAGCGACTGAATGAGTGTTCAGGTCTCTTAGACCAACCTAAGGAGAAAAACTGCCACTTTTCATACTTAAAATAAATCTTCTCGAAGTTAAACAAATTCAAATTTTTTCAGGCTAGGGTGATGGGAGTTCGATGGAAGGAGTGCGAAATTATGAAATAATCGAAAAGTAACCCCTACTGAATACCATTAAAAAATATGGGCTCCGTGAATACGATAAATTTCTAAAAAAGGACATTTAATTAATACCGAAGGACTTCAGGGCTGTTCGGTGAAATTTAGATCAAGTTTAAGATCAATGTAATATCGGAATGAGTCATATAAGGGGTATTGATTCTTGCCTGAAATATCAATAATGCAAGCATCCAAGGCGAGAGCATTACGAGATAACAGGATTTAAAATGGATAACAATAGCTCCAGTTAGAGAAAATCAAAGAAGAGCTAATTCCGAATGGATGTTTTTGCCAAAAAATGGTGTTTTGAAGTTTACCCAATTAACTTTAAGATATGGGCTTTAGGTTATCTGTTTGCGCAAATAATTGGATCGGTTTATGAAAACAGCAGCTCCTGATCAATTGAGAATTATTTTAATCCTTTTGAAACTTCAATCGTAAGAAAGGTAACCAGAAGCAAGTGAACATTAGACTTTGATTATCGCCACCAACTGAGTCAAGTTCTAGCCCTCTACTATTCTCTTTAGTGGAATCAAGTTAAGAAAGCAAAAAATGACTTTAAATCTTACCATGATATCGGACCTATCTTCATTTTCTCGTGTATCGTATTCGCAGTTTGCGCAAGCTCCTTCCGTATCTTGGCCATCATCGGTATCATTATCACTAACTTCCACAAGATCGTCTACACCGACAGTGGCATCAGCCACCGATGCAGCTGATGTGGCGGACGTTTGCATCTCTGCAGCCTTGCGTTTTAACTCCTCCAGGACGCCGTGCAGTTCAGTTATGCGGTCTTCGTAGCGGGAGGCTTGTTGGGTTAATTCTCGTCGATATCGGTCGTTCTCGCGTTGAAGACGATAGATTTCACGTTGATCAATCTCCCGACTTGTCTGCAAATTAAAGTTCAGAATTTATCATTTTGTTGATCTTGTATCGGTGTGAGAATTTGGTGACCGGAAAGGTTAGCTACTCTGGTTAATATTGTTCAATAGAGAGAAATTATGATGTCAGTTTTTCAGTTGGAGAAGATTCTGGGAGTCCTTCCAGTATAAATGATAGGTGTTGGAGTTCCCATTCTGTCATATGGTTTGGAAGTTATGTTATATCAAACATGATAATATTCAGACAGTGGATGCATATATTTTGAATCTAAATTTTAAATAGGATGTAAACTTCCAAACTCAAGTAAGATAGGCGTCTACAGCCACTGAAGTACCCTGGAGACGCTTTATTTAAAAGTTTATATTTAACGACCTCCCTAATTGACCCAAGTTTATTGTTTTGGCCATTCTTCCATATCACTAGACGTATATCCATGAGTGTCGATCTTTTTGGGACCCTGACTTGGCAGACATGTGCTGTTTTTTCCCAAACCCTCTTCATTAATCGAACTGAAATTGAAAACGCCTTCTGTTGTCAGTAAAAAACCATCATCGATTCGGAATAGCACTGCAACTCACGAAATGTTGTGGTACTTTAATTCTACTTTACTATTAATAGAAATGAAATCTATTTCGTGGTCCAAAGGCGATTTGAACTCAAGTGATGGTGGAAGGTAAGACATTTGTTTGTAAAGGATCAACAAATCCAATAAAACTAAAGAGTAGAATTCAACCTTGGAACGTACATTTTTCGTAATATTTATTTCAACAAAGTATGAATTTCTTATCATTCTCTTCATTTGTCCTATAGGAGACCGATTTTTAGCTCTTTTGAAGAAAAACAACTGACACCATAATTCAATATAACGTTATTTTAGAAATCTTTGAATGATAATTAGAAATAATGAGTTGGGTTCGCATTAATGAATATTTCATCAATACACTTTACAGACCTCAAGTATCTTCTTTCATTGTTTTTCCAAAACGAAGAAAGCCGTCTATAAAATATTGTTTGTATTATATTTAGCTCTTGTATTTTATATTACTATCATGTTTGACCTTAAAAATGCGTGGAACTTTGTCAAGACTCCGTATTCCTGAAATTTGGGGGCTATGCATAATTATCAGGGGAAATATCAACCATCTTTAATTAAAAGGGATGGGGGGGGGCTTGACTTTCAGAATTATATGTAAAAATTCGGAGGCTTTTAAAATTTACAATAAGTTATATCGGTGACAAATGATTAAAATAATAAATGTATTTGTTAAATAAGTCATAGCATGGCACGAGGAATCACTCAACTTAAATATCTAATCAATAAGTTCAGAATACTCCGGGCATGAACTCATAGGACCGGAAGTCCTTCAAATAAGCAAACATTTGAGAAATGAAATTGACCCTTTGATGTCCATCTTACGTTTTTCAACTACTACCGTGTTAGGACGCTCTCCTATGATTAAAAACTGTAATTTCATTTTGCCACGGTACTGATATTGATGATAATTTTTTTAAAATATGGCTATTAAAAAGAAATACTAGTTGCTACTCAAAAATATTAATTTTATTAGCACCCGCTAAAAATTAATTTTATTGCTAAATTATGAGTGTTCATGAATTTACATTTTAATTCACTTTGTCTCCAAAATCTTTTAAAATTTCTAACTAGTTGTTTAATTTTCCAATTTAACTTGAGGAAATTGAATGTGATCAAGAAGTTGAAAGACTAATAACACTCAAGTTAAAATTGTTTTCAGATGGATCAGATTTTACGAAAACGTCATCGTAATAAGGACATAAAATTACAAAACCACGGCGTCATCATCCAGTTGGAAGTAATGAAAAATATGCTAGCGGTATAGTTCAGTTATGAGCTTCTTTATAATGATTTATACATCAAAAGCTAATGAAAATATTTATAATATATGTTAAAATTTGCACATTAGTTTTACCTAAAATTGTCGTAATTATAAATAAAACTTTATCTGCGTGATTCTGTTCATTAGATTGGTCTCAAATTTATGTAAAAAAGTTTTTCTCGGAACATGCTCATGTGTTAACCTCTAGTACCAACTTTTGTCTGCTAGACAGTTTCAGCAGGTATGCTTGGACATGGCTCAGCGTGCTGTTGAGTTACGTAAAATTGATTCATGAAATTAAGAAACAAATAATTTATCTAAAAGCATGAATGCATATATACGCTTTATGTAAAGGGGGGAATAAAAGTTAATGTGCTGAATGGAAAGCTAACCTGCAAGTTTTGAAGTCTACAACATAAATCCCTTATTTCAAGGCGAAGCTTCAGCGTCTTTTGAACATGGACAGTATTAAGGCATTCAAAGACCGAAGACATCGCTTTGCGAATTATCATTAAGGAATTCACAGAGCTTGATTCCTTGAGGAGTTGGGACATGTCAAAGTCGTGTTCAAAATCCTGATCCTTTAGATTCTTGCCAAGCTGGGACCAGGAAAATGCCTCTTTACTCTCGGAAATTTCGGAATCCTCAAAATTTTGATCTGTCTGACACATAAATTGATACAATTCGGGATAGGCTTTACGAAGTTCTGCTAGAGAAAGAGAATCACCAAACATATCCTGAGCACCGGAATCGCCGTCAGCTAAAAATCGAAGCGCAAAATCAAAAATGAAGGCAGTAATTAAAATTATCTCAAATTTAAGTAATTCCCAGTTAATTTTATTTAGACAAGTGAATGCAAAGATGAAGTATTATAATAGTAGAAAGTTAAATGCTCGATTTAAAAGCAGCTTTTAAATTAAAAAATATGTGAGTTAAAATCAATCTACCAGAATTAAAAGTACTCCCATCGCTGGCCGAACTAACAAATCCAGGAAGTGTTGTTAGATTTTCCATCTTTGCAGAAGGTAAACTGTAATCTTATTGAGGGATCCCAGGGTCATAAGTTGGACGATAGTGGTTGTGTCCTATATGATAGGTTTTAGCATTCCATAAAATCCAAGAAGCGTAATCACTCTCAGTTGACAATTTATCGCGCAATTGAAAGGGTCAATGGTTAGAGAAGGTCGAATCAATTTATTATCGAATCAATTATAACAAATTTCATATAATAAAGAAAATGAAACATTTTGCATAAAAAAGAACTTAATAAAATTTTAAGAACTTTTAATTTTCTTTACTTTATATTTTTTGTTCAAATAATTAGACTTGTTGGTTGCATATTATTTCAAACTTATTAATGGATTGCTGCCCATTTATGTTATGAGTCTTATATTACAAACGATTTAATCAAAATTTATCCAATTATAATCAATATTGTAATAGATGACTGATCATATTCCCTCTTTATCAACGCAAGAATGACATCGAGTAGCTTTAAATTACATTTTGCAAATTAAATGAGCACGAAGTCTATCAGGTTTTTCTATTTTCCTCATTTGTCTATAGGCGATAGATGGGCAAGATACATAATATTATAACAAAAGGGAACTGTTGGAACTGTGGATACCTGCACTATTTCACTTTTGTGAACTTTACGAATTTTCACCCTCCATTAAGCTATAGAGCTTTCTGAGAATAGTCAAGGTTATTGAGGTAGCTAATCCGCTACAGTTTTCATTATTCTGTCTTTCAATTTTTGCGTCTGTTTTTTACACTGTGTTCGCTGATTTGGTCTTTTATATTACTAAACTATGCGTACCATCATTTGTCATGATTTTCCAATTTATGTTTATAAGATGAGGTTGGGATTACATTTGATAAATCAATTGCAGAGTAGGGCTAACTTGAAACCAATCATCCAATATAAAAGGCATAATTTGACATTCGACATGGTATATAAACTCTTAAAAGTCAATCAAAATTAGTGCTAACTATGGTCGCCAAACTATTCACGTCCTTAAACCACGTATTTTAATAAAATTGATATATGAACCCGATCAATCCAATATAAAATGGTGCATTAATTAAAGCAGCTGAAGCATGAATTTAATGCATTTAAATTTTAATTAATATTATATAATAAATTAACATAGAGTAGTAAGTTAGGTTTTGTTATTTAATGAACTATTCTTTGTCTGAGAATGACCTTTGACAAACAGTCTTCAAGACTGCCGTAAAGCTTGGCTTTGGTTAAAATAGTTTTGAGAAAAATGAGGTTATTGTGCCTTCTTACTTTTGCTGTTGCGTTTGTCCTTAGTTCAAACGTTGCCAGGTATATCATTTATTGAAGTGACATACTTTTCCCTAGAATTCCTCTTCATCCTATTCGCAAGGGCCATCGTTCCTTTTCCGAGCTGAGAGACTCAGTTAAAATCATTAGGGACAGATGGACCGTTGGTTATGGTTCATCAGGACCTCACCCTGAGCCATTGGAAAATTATCTTGATGTAGGTTTTCCACCTCGATTGACTTATTGTTTCATGCAGGCTGTTTGAATTTCATTTATATTTATGCATAGGAATATATATTCATTTTCCGTTATTTCTCAAGGCTCAATACTATGGACAGATTGAATTGGGCACTCCTGGGCAGAAATTCATGGTTGTCTTTGACACTGGTTCATCAAACCTCTGGGTACCATCGAAGAAGTGTTCATGGTTTGATGTTGCCTGTTGGGTTCATCGTCGGTACGACAGCGCAAAGTCGAGTACCTATAAAAAAAATGGTACTGATTTCGCTATTCAATATGGTACTGGCAGCCTTAAGGGCTTCTTAAGTACAGACACGATCAAGCTCTCGGACATTCGAGCTCCCGATCAAACATTTGCCGAGGCTACCCAACAACCTGGTTTAGTGTTTGTCATGGCAAAATTCGATGGCATTTTGGGAATGGCTTTCAACTCAATCTCAGTTGATAACGTCGAACCAGTTTTCTACAACCTTCTGCGTCATAAGTTAATCGCTGATCCAGTGTTCGCTTTCTATTTGGATAGGTAAGTCTGGATGCCCTAATATCTTCCCTTTTTGCCAAATACAAATATATAAATATTTATTTTGGTCTAGAAATGAAGCAGATGTGATTGGTGGTGAATTGATGCTTGGTGGCTATAACGCATCACTCATTGATGGTCCCATTACATATGCCCCTGTAACAAGAGAAGCATACTGGGAATTTCGTACGGATAAGTAAGTGGACGCGTTTTATGCTAGTGGTAAAATTATAGCGATTTTTTATTGATCACTTTAAAAATTATCTCAGTTCCAGAACTGGTGTTCGGAATTGGAGCCATGTTCTGCCCCTAGTCATTATTGGAGACCTACTATTTGGATGACCTCTTTTAATATTAACAGTTCTTGTGTGACTATTTACGAAGTTTTATTATTGCTAATATCTGGTATAAGCTGCTCTTTGTGCTTGTATTTTCTCAGATCAACACTGGTTTTGAGTCTATCAACTATATAATTTAACTAGATCATAAAATCTATAGAGAAATAGACAATGATTTTAGCAATCAAGTATTTCCTTGTTAATGCATTTGTTTCTCTACTTCCTCAGTCATGGACTAAACCTTGTATAATTGTTTAATGCGAATTACATTAATTTACCTTTACGGTCCAAAAGGTAAGTTGAAATATTGCTCTCTGTTTCCCACCAATTTCTAGAAGGAACCTCTACACAGATTTCTCTTTTAATTGCTTCGTTTTAGTTTCAGATAGGAAAACTATATAAGAATGTTTTTCCGTAAATAGTACACATATTGTGGAAAACTGAGACTGATAATAATTCCTTTTTGTATCTGCACCGAATGTGAAAGATTTTAAAGATTTTGACTGATAATCATTTTTATTTCTATTTATAACATCTTGCTTCACTCAAGAAGGAAGGCTACCTCTATTTAATCGAGCATAGTGTAGAGCTGAAAGGAGGCAATGTGCATCATTTGATTATTGTGTTCGGGAAATTAATCTTCCCATGAAGTTATCTTCCAACCTTCTCAAAAACAACATCATTTCGATTGTAACTTTTTATTTTCTCTACGTTAGGATTGAATTGAAAGGTGTGAATCTGTGCGAGGGTGGCTGTGCAGCTATCGCCGATACTGGCACTTCTCTTATCACTGGCCCCACGGAGAAAATTGAGAAGCTGGCCGAAATTATGAAAGCCAGACCAGTCCCCGGTGGCACCTACTTCGTTCCATGTGAAAATACAACCTCTCTTCCTCCCCTGACCTTCACAATTCAATCGGTCCAATTCGTTCTCAATCCTGAGGACTATATTCTCAAGGTGAGTTTTAGTCGACTTTTTTATCAGGGCTAGTAATTTATAAAGGTCACCATAAAGTTACAATTCGAAATTAACGTATTCAGTCTTGGATTCTTGGAGCAATTTTGTGCCTTCTCATTCCAGGACTTATACTAGTGGACATCAATTATTCTTCCAGACATTCAGCAAAGAACATGTCCACTTTTTTAAGTCTTTCTAGATTCGCGGCTGGAAGCCAGTGTTTACATGGACGAATGGTTTGGGTTGCATAATTGACCTGAAATTTCAGTTAAAATTCCATTTCCCGAATTCTGGAGGTCAGACCACGATAGCTCATTGTAATAATATGAAATTTGTTGCTAGTCAGCTCAAATTTGGGAATACATCAGTGTTTTTCCCGATTATCTGAGAATACTCGTCGAATTTTTCTGTAACAAAGAATAAAGGCCTATATGGTAGGCTTTCAGATAATTGAACTTGCTTTTACTCTACCAATGATTATGCATGATCCATAAATGGAGCACTTGCAAAAAACCCTAACCGAGATCGATGCTCATCCGTTTTTGGCAGTATTTATTTATTTCAAATGGCAGGCTTTATGATATTTATCATTAGCCCATTTTTGGCAGTATCTAGCTGTACTTATTACGGTTTAACAAGTGGGGTGACAATGCCTCACGTCAGATTCTCTTTCCTCTAGTTTATTAGTTTTCATTTCTTTTTCGTCAGTGGTCTTGGGCATTTCTTTATAAATCTAAGATTGACCCTCTTATCTCTTTGACAGGTTACTCAATTTGGTTACACCATGTGTGTGCTCGGATTCATGGGTCTAGATCTTCCCAAGTATCCAATGTGGATTCTCGGCGATGTCTTCATTGGCAAGTACTATAGTATCTTTGATCTAGGTCAGAAGAGGGTTGGTTTCGCCAAAGTGAAGAAACCGTCAATAAACCAGCCCACCGCTGCCTACGGTCCAGTCTTCCGTTCATTTGCTGGGGAGAATCTTCGTAAAGTCGTTCCAATGGCACGTCTCTACCCCGCTATTCAAGTCTAAGCTCAGTATTTGATTCAAATGGCTTTCGGTGTTTATTGCTTCCCTGTCATTGGCCTTCAGCCTCTTGCTTAATACTCACTCTTATTTTTTTCATGTTATACTCACATTTATACAATGTTTTTACACAATAAATTACCTCCATCCGTTTAATTTTATTTGCCTTTCACACCTTGCATTAAACGTAATTGGTATTAAATAAGAACATTTAACGAATGCATTTTCAATTTCTGACTGTCGTTGAGGGTTAGAGTAGCTATAGTACGGTTTTAAGGATTTAGCGTTCTATTAGCGACCGTTCTGTAATTTATAGTTAAGTCGTCTGTAATCATGATTTTTCAACGAATTTCTCAATAAACGTTAGTAATTTCTGTTCTTGGTCAGGTAACTGCATTAAGCTTGTTGTAGGGCTTGATATTTGCGCCCCGCAAGCGTCGTTCAATGACTTCCAATGACATTTCCTTCTCATTCACTGGCCCATTTGACTCATCCTTCTGAAAGAGCCAATGAACAGTTGAAACCAGGTAATTCCTTCCCTCCTCATTGGCAGTCGTACATCGCGACCAAGCCAATGCCTGCTCTTCCCTAGTAGCGCACGTCTCATCAAGGTCACAAATTGTAAGGTCATATTCGTCACCCCTGGGAGTCCCTTTCCCCTTGTCGGACTCTTGACGTTTTTCAAGCAAGAAGAAACAATTTGGTGAAGAGCCAATGATGGATTCAAGTTCAGGCCGAACAATTTTCATAGCTTCGAGTACATCATTTGGAGTCACCATCATCGGGGCTCTAAGTGTAATAAAAATTTAATAATAGTCTTATATACCCATCACTTGATTTCTGCCTCTGGATTTCCACGATAATGTGGTCTATGATTGCCTTTCGACCTTGTTCGAGGTAGCACACTAAAGACTGGGCGAAATGAGGTAATGGTTCACCAGGAGCCTACAAAGGTAAATTATGCCTTTGATGCGATCCAATCAACGGATTAAACAATAGGAAAACAAGCCTCAGAAAATGTTAATCTTCCAGAATCGTAATATTCGAAAATCAGGTTCAAACAATATATAAAGTTCAGTTGGGCAAATAATAACTACCTGGTTTCCATGCCCTTAGACTTTCATTAAAGGCTTCAGGGAATATGGGAGTGAGTAAGCATACATTGAACTCACGAAGACGTTCCCTATTTTGGAATATAAATCCTTGCTCATAAGCTGACTAAAGTCACCTCACTTTCAGGAAGCATAAATTCTATCGATGGCAGAGCTTCCACTCGTCGAACTCTTTATCATCGATAATTATTAGTTTAATTCTGATCAATCCTACTTAACCCTCATTAGGCTCGATCAAGTGTAAAATCTTGTCAAATCAAAGGAAAACTGATGAAGAGCAAATGCTGAAGGTTCATGAAAATTTTTAATTTCTTTCACTTACGCGAATTCTACACTCAAAACTATAAGTAACTATGGTAGTTTAAAATCTAAGAAAAATAAGGATAGGGTTGTCACAATTGCGGGCGTATTTTATAAAAACAACTAAGATAAGGAACCTACATAAACCCATTGTGCATTGATCCACCTAAATAGATTGAATTGAGAGATAATTTCTAGAAATTTTAATCGTCCTTCCAGTATCGTAGAACTTAACGATTTTACATTAACAAACAAATCAATATGATTTACACGCCTTTCTTTACCTGGTGGAATAGTTCCTCCAGACAAACTACGTCATCCATGGGAATAGCTGCCATGGCGTACGACCCCTCGTCTTCCCATTCTTCATTATTACCAACCAGAGCAGCCTGCACCAATCGTATAACAGAGGGATTTTGTGGTTCGCAGTCAAGTAATTTAGCTAGAACAAGACTCAGCTGGTACGTGGTGAGACGACATCCAGTGCTCTTGGGTTGAGATTCCGTATTCTGAGCTTCGTGTTGAGTATGTTTAACTTCCGTGGGCTCTTCAGACATCGTAAGGGCGATGGCTATAGCGTTTGCTAACTCACGTAATTGGTTGAAAAGTCGTCCGGTTAGAGAACGTAGATACCAGTGATAGGCTTCGTCAACCTTAAGAAAAGATTTTGCATATTACTAGGTCACTAGTCAATATCTCTACGTAAACTCCTCTATATGATGAGGTATGATGGGAGAAGTTGGGCTGCCTGGTGAAGTTTATTGTGTAAAAGGTAGCTTATATCCAGAAGAGAAGACGCATAGTATTGTTATAATTATTTTACTAAAAATAGCACGTATGAAGTAAAGGAAATGGCTTAACAAAAAGTTCAAACAATGGTTAAGAGGAAGGGGACAAGAAGATGTTGGGTACGAGTTGTTCAATATTTGCCACATGAGTATCTCACATTTCATAATTCACTTTATGGGGTGTGCGATAGACTTACCTCCAGGTGGTTCACCATGGGCAACGTATACTCATACGACAAAAAAGAGTCTATAAACGGGAGTTGGCTTCTCAATTCAAACTACTATGACCCCACTGTATGTCATATTCGATCACTTCCACGGTATTCATCTTACCTATTCTCTACCTCTGTGTCTGTCTTTCTTTCACATCTGTGAATCACTCTACTGTTTCCCCTCTCTAATGTTTCTCACTTTGATGCTCCTCCTCCCTGTGAAGCCCGAAGTCAACTGAAGGGGCAATGATAACTATAATAAAGCCTGCTGTTTAATATAAATAAATAATTCACTTCTTGGGCCGTTTATTAATCAAGAGGAAACTGCCCTATCTCTTCGCTGCCGAAGTTATCAAATTTTGCTCAATTAAGTTCTCTTTTCTTTCTTACCCACATACTCTATATTCTGCCTAAAATAACGTTGAGATAATCGTCGAGATCCTTAAAATCATGTAAAAGTTCAAATTTTAATTGAGACTCCACCTCATTATCAATTATTTTCCGGAAACGCACAATATCCCCACACTCCGTCATCAGGCTACCGGCTAGGTAGATGGAAAGCGACCATTCTTTACGCATATTCTCCACTCCAAATGCATTCTTCAGGTATTTGCTCAGGAACTCATTGAACTTGGGCAGTTTTGGACGCTTACCCTTTCCAAGATCTTTCTGAAAATTGAGAAAGAAGTCAAAAATTTTTAAATATAAATATTAGTAAACAAATATTCATATGCAGACTGAAACTCGGATCGATGCAAAACTAAAACAGTTTCAGATCTACTTTTGTTAATGAATTATTTATGTGCAAGAGTAAGCGGTTTAACTAATACATATGTATGAACAAGTTTTGAAGTTTGGGGTTTGTGATAAATTGGCAAACATAATTGCAATAATAATCCATTTAAGGATTTAAATGTATGGAAAATGCTTTCATTAACGCTTTTCATCATACGTCTCCTTTCACGGTGTCCTTGATTAGTAACCAATCAATAATGACTGTACTCTATCTTAGACTTTTTTCTAAAATGATTTTATAGTCTCCAGTGCAGTTACAAATCAGTTCATGAATGGAACACGACAAAGGAGCCAAAACAATGCTACTAGCAGCATTCATTATCCCCATTATTTGAATTTTGTTAAAATAAATATTTACCAAGTATTCAGCTAGTTGTTTCTGTCTTCCTAGCCATATATCTTCAAGAAGTAAGAGAAGATCACGTTTTGGTTTGATATGAGGGGTCATTGGAAGACATCCTTCAAGGAATTTAGGAATTTTCTTTTGACCTTCCTAAATTTGGATCAAGAAATAACTAAATACACAAAAAATACAGAGGTACTTCGATAGACAAATAAATTACTGTATGCTCTCCTAGTTTTAAGAAAAGGATTGAAGAAACCTATGTAAGTAAACAGTGAAAGTATGAAGTATAAGCCACTCAGGATCTGCAAATTTTGATTCAGCTAAGCATTATCTAACCGTCTTAGTCATACCAGAATACAATTTTTTCATTTTATACTAAATTCGTTGTCTGCAATGGGCAGTATTAGCCAATAATTGTGCAAGTTATCTTAAAACTCCTTAAGTGGAGCTAAATAGATTACTTTTAAAGCATATTCAAATATTGTATCTAATCTGTTTAGTAGGTAATGAAATTATTGATCAATGCATTTTACAAAATATTAACTGGAGTTGTTGTAATGATCTAATCTTTTGCAGATCTCAAACAAAAATATGTACTGAAGAGAAGAATGTGTGTGGTTCGAACATAAGATGACAGCACTTAGTACATTTCATTTCACTTCCTGCTTTGTTACACGTGGATGAGTCATGCTTATCAGCAGTTTCGAATGATTCAATAAAGTTTGTTTTTTAATGCATCTAGTGACTAGTAATAAAGAAAAAATGTACACTATATTTTAGTTTTATTACCTATGACTGAATACAATGATTACATGGATTAGTGAATTTTGTTATGGTTTAAAATGCGCTAAATGAATTGCGAAAGTACAAATTAATAGATATGAATTAAATCTTCCGGAACCTGTTGATAGATTGGTCTTAAAATACGCCAATGAAAGCCAGCCATTCATCGCAGTCGAATTTATTTTTTGTATGCATCTTCTGAAACTTGTTTCTTTGGGAAGAATCATACCACTTGGCATAAAGTCACGATAGTCAATAGGGAAGTTTCAAAAAATAATTTATTTAACGTATGGTTCGAGCACTTAATTATAATATCGCAGAGTATGGAATGCTATTATGGCTAACTAAAAGAATCTCGTGCAGGATAGAACATCCGGAAAGTGAGTTCGTACCGACCAATCAGCTATCTATATTCCTACTGCTTTATTTGTAGTTATTAGCCACCCCTTCCATTGTTGGCCAGCTTTAAAATTAACTTCACACGATATTTTAGCCACTCTGAATATGGCCTAGCTAGGTTTTGGGGTCAAATTTAAAAGTAATTACTCGAGGTGTGCGATGGACATACCACCACGTGGTGCACCCTGGGCAACGTATACTCGTACGCAAAAAAGTCTATAAACCAGCAGTTGACTTCCCACTTCAAACTGCCATGACCCCTTTGTATGTCATATTCGACCCCTTCCACAGTGCACATCTTACCTTTCCTCTACCTTTGTGTCTCTCTGCCTGTCTCTTTCACATATGTGAATCATTATTTTGTCCCCCCTCTCGACATTTCTAATTTGATGTTCCTCCTCCTCTCTGTGAAACCCGAAGTCAGCTAAAGGGCTGATGATAAATATCAAAACGCCTGTCATTTAAAATAAACAAATAATTGAGGACCCAGCTAGACAAGTTGTGTTTGTCTGCAACTAGGTGGACTTCTGAGAGATTTAATCAAGTGTTTATTTGCATAGTACCCGCCGGTATATGAGGAGACTAATAAATTACTAGAGGAAATAGCTCTTCATTAGACCAAATAATTATTGTTGGTGGCATTTTTGCTCATTGAGTATGTTCAAATACGCTCCGATCATAAATAAAAGCCTGATATTAAAAAGGTTATCTAGAAGATATTGTTGTTCGCGCTTTCCGCTTTAGCGGGCAGAACATTTCCTTCATTACCACTTACCTCGGAGCTCAGACCACCGATCTGTGATTGTAGGAGAGAAGCCTGTGGACCACCACCAGTCAATTCAGAAGAGAAAATTACTAGCTTCTCCTTTGAACTCATTCCTGTAGTGAGTTGTTGCCACCGTTTACGGCCTCCGGGAACCAAATTGGCAACTCGTGGCCATTCTGGACTGGATTGTAGATTTATCATAAAATGAAGCATAACCAAATACTCAGCATACTAGTAGTAGGTTTCCTTTTAATTTTACCTTTAGAGTTAATTACAATATATCAAAGTATAAATAAAATAACATGAAATAATAGATTTGACTTAAACTATTTTAAATCTCAAATTTTCATAGCACTGTTAATTTTGAAAGGCCTGCTTTAAAATCAAGTTTGAGAGGTGTTTATTTACAATAATGAAGTTAAGACTAATTTGCAAATAAATCAATTCATTGCAAAGTCATTCAAAAACTAAAATCAATTAATTTAATCTAGGAATATTGTGTTTGATATAATTTAGGCACGTGTGGTAATATTGATTGCTTCAACTAAAATAAATTGTCCAAAAAATCGACAGATGCATAACGTATTGCATGGCCCAAACTGAAGCCTTTAGAAACGTACGACTACTTCGATTTTTTTGCCTAGTTTGAATATAAAAGCGTCGATATTTCCATAACGTGATCAATTTATTTTAAAATATGTGTCATCTTTCAAAATTTCAGTATACGTTTAAATAATTAAGATAATTATTTCCCTTACCGTGGTGTAGACACTCTCTGCAGAGATTCAAGAGTTTCATTCAACTCATCCCTCTCACTTAATAAGCTCAACATTTCATCCCTTTTCGATCTTAAAAAAGATTAATTAAGAATAAATTTGTTGGAATGGGAGTTCCATATTGGTACGAAATTTACGCAAGCTCTGCTTCAAGCTGATTGAGTCGCTCCTGCAATTTCCTAAATAGGGCTTCTGTCTCATTAAGTTCATTTTGAATTTCTTCGAACTCCTTTTTAGGAACAACATCACTGTATTCTGTCTCCAAATAAGCTATTCTGTTAAGAGCCTTAGTGTGGGCCTCATTGGCTTGTCTGTAAATTTAAAAGCATTTTGCATATTACATAGTACGAACTTAGCAAAGCAAGTTTTGTTAATATTCACTTACTTAAGGGCGATTTTTAACGTAACAGCATCTCCATTTTCATTAACACTTAGTTCTTTCGAATAGTTAAGAAGATCCCGGTATTCAGCCTGTAGTTGACTCAAGTCCATAATGGCTAATTTGCTAGCATCTGATTCATGCAAAAGTTCAACTGAAAGTTCTTTCACTTTTTCATGCAACTTTATTTGCTAGTTCAGAGTTAATTTAATTACATTCAATATACAGACGTACAAATGCTAATTTATTTTAACATACCAGTATTCTACTCTCTTCTTGTTCTTCTTTAATTCTGGATATTTTACTTTCTAACAGCTTAATGGTTTCCTTTAATTTAGTAAGCTCTTGAACTATTAAGCACTTTACATAATCGAAGTACCTTTGTTTTCTTGATTATATTGCGAAGCAATCTTTCTCTCGTACTCATTTGTAACAGTAAAAAGCAGTTCCTAAATGTTTAAAAAAGGATATAATCGACTACTTTAGCTGGTTTAAGTTGATCAGTAGTGACTCTATACTCTTCCAGGATACATTCATATTCATTTTTAATAGGGATTAAGATAGGCTGATACGTCTTGAAGTTGGAAATAATTGTATCAAATGCCTCCCTATATATCTGAAGAAATTAACTAATTTTGTAATTACAGACAATCGTTCTAAGCTGGGCTTAGCTCTTGACAATCCACCCTCCGCCAAGCGCCTATGCAACTTATTCTCGACAGACTTAAGGAACTCTGGCTTAGTTAATCTGTCTGACTCATCTTTAAAATAACTTCAATAACTATCGATTTTTACTTTTGAAAAGCGATTGTGAACTTAACTTGGATACAGGTTCGTTTACATTAGAAGCGGACCAGTAAGTTGAATCATAATTTGGACTGCTATTTACTCTACTGACCGTCGAAGCGGTCAAATTCTTTACTTGATACTTTAAATTTCGAATGTTAATAGACCCCTTATCAGGATCATTAAATTCCATTTTGAAATCTACGGATGGTACGTCTCTAAGTTACCCTATTAACATCTGATTCTTTTAAACAATTTTACCTCGAGGAATTTTGCCAGTGAAATAATTTCTCAGTTTTAAGCCACAAAATATTTATTTGTTTTTTGTGTGCAAGTTTATTTGTATTTTTTGTAAAATGATTTTGTACACCATTATATTGAAATATCGAAAGTAAGGTAATATAGCATGTATAGTACTAATCTAACCAAATTTAGCTCAAGAATTTGAAAGTGCAGTAACTAAAACTAGTTTTCAGTCATCAATGATGTTATTTTATCTCTTTCAAGAAACTTTAGTCTCTCTTAAATGACATTTCATATGTATTAAATGCCTCCCAAATTCTTTCTAAATATTAGCTTTAATGTCCACTTTCTTTTTTCTCGACTTTAATATCATTTACTTGTAAATCATCTGTATATGAGAAACAGGCATTAGCCCAAAAAGCCATTATCCGCTGGTATAGTCAAAAGCGGTCTTTAAAAATAATTGAATAATATTGTTCTAAACAGTCTAATCTGCTCCATTAGTTTAGAAAGGCAATGATATTAGACACTTCCCGACTCTGAACTCAAATACAAAAGAATTCAAATCTTCCAGTACAAAATTGTCCACCGCTTTCGTTGACATGAGCTGTTTTGTCTAGATACCCTAGAGGATATTACCATTCCACTATAACCTAGATAATAAAATTATCACACTGCACTCTTCTCAGGGTACTGTGAAAACCATATATCCTGGAGCGAAAGACCAGCCTGACCAAATGTATAAGAGCCATTTCATTGATGATTGCATACCCATTTTTATTAGATGAATTAATTTGATCAAGATAAAAAGAAGTGAAATTTAAGATGCTTAATCCGCATCACCGATTCATAGCCACAGCCAATTTAGTAAATATATCCGAAGTTGCACTAGCATTTTTGACACCCTGTGTCACGCTTATCGCCAACTAAACAAAAGTATACGTAATTAATCAATCACAATAGAAGTAACACATATTGAACTGCCATTACCTCTTGAGCCTCAGTTGAACGTATATCACCACGCAACATTATGATGGTATAAATCTGATCTGTTCGCACATCAGGGAATTGTTGTTGCAAACACTGTGAATAACAATACAATATCATTCATGATACGTTGACCTAAATGATATGATATAATTTACTCACTCCAATATCCAAAGAAAGCATATTAAGATCATCATTTGTGAGAAATTTGCCAATTAATCCAATAGCGTCATAACCCTCGTAAATCTGTAAATAAATTGATTAAGCTATAATAAAGCCAACAACTTACTTTTTGGGCTACGGGGATCTTGTTCTCAAAGAAGGCCCTCAGAATAGTGGAAGTTTGAATCAGCTTCTCCCCGGCAGTGTGGCGCTCATGACTAGAGCTAAAATGAAGAGTTCTAGTGAGTAGAACTCGTAGGAAATCAATTAGAAGGCGTGCAGCCAATCGAGGTGTCAAATCTTGATAGTATATTTGATTGACATGAACAAGGGTCTCGTTATAATCAAGGAATGTTCCAGTAATGCATTGTGTTGTTAGATCGCCTGGGCTGAGCCTATAAAGAAGTGAATGAATGATCAAGTTATAAGTGCTTACCATTCACGGGTGAGAATAGCAGACATAACGGGAGTCAAATCCATAAATATTGTTTCTTCTGCACAGTTCAGGCTATAAACAATATTAAAGAGTTAAGAGAACGGCATTAATTCCGAATACATGCTGACTGCAAAGAAACCTACCAAAATGCTGCTACCTTTGCGTACTCGTCTTTGAGGCCACCCAATTGGGGTAGAAGACGTCCTTTCAAATGGGATTCGTTTTCGACTTCTTTGTTAATCACAGCCGCGAAACTGTTTGCGATTGTTAAAGTGTTGTTGGCATTGGCAAGCTGCAAAAACAAACCAAAAATGATTTTTTAAATTCAACGAACTTGTTTAAAGTATTTCAAATGGCAGTGGGTTCTCCCTGAATCTTTAGGAAAAAAAGATGAAAGGTATCGCCAACTATATAACTTTTAAGAGAATAGCATCAATTAGCTGTCCTAAAATTTTTAGCGATAGGTGATATTTGAAAGCTCTAACAGTAATCTTAAAGATTCCGAAAGGCTCCACTTAAATAAATTAAGACCTTTCGTCCATAGAATATTCGGATTTCTTTTCATTAAACATCTAGAAGTATAAAAAACTTATGTCTAAATAACCCCAGTAAAATCGAATTGAAAGGATCTCAAACCGCGGTAACAAAAGAAACAATGGATTCAGGTGAACTCTATTTAATTAAGGGAATTTGTCAATTTCTCTCCAAATTATGAAGAGAACATCATCTAAAAGGAAACAAATTTAAGCATGCAAAATAACGCAAATTTAAGTAAATGTGAATATAAAAGTTATGAATACCACGAAGCTTACAATATACTCGATATAATAAGGAAACTTTGCACGATCGCTAAGGTAGGCACTTCGATATTCCCGTATACTACCTGCAAAAGAAGACTATATTGAAACCCCGATTTCGCTATAGAATGTCCCGTTAGGCAAGTAAGAAGAACTCACTCTCGTAGCTCCTAGCGAATGAAAGTATTTCCTGGGTACACTGGACTAAAAAGCTTTCTCGAACAACATTTCCAAGAAAATGAAGGAGCTTTCCCTCTCCGACCTAAATATTGAATAAATGTTGTGCAATGTCACTCTATTCATGTTAATAGAGGGGCATGAAGTGTTAACAGCTTACCAACTCATTAATAGGCGAAAGAACCATAAGTGAGAGGGGAGTATAGAAATTCGAGGCATCATTCAGCTCTGGTTTTGTGGACCGTTTCCAATCCTGTGTGTAAAAAAAAAGTACAGTATGGAGACATATTCTATTGAATAAGCTATATTGCATCAATACAAAAAGCGGAGAAACTCACCTCAATGTCAATGGCTAAAGACTTGACCAACCAGCCGTTCAGTTTGATAATTGTCTTTCGGACATATCTGCGAGTTAAATAAAATGGTTAGAATTTGCACTATCACAAGAGGCACACATCTCATCTTAAATAGGGAAAGAGGTCTAGAAAATGCTGCTTATCAATCAATTTAAACTGTGTACGCTTTCTACTGTTTTCGAGATACTTCAAAGGAGCGAAGTGAGAACAATGGTTATGAAAGGCAGCATTTAGTGCAAGTGTTTCTCCATCACTCTGGAAGCTAATTTCTTAACGGGTATAAATAAGCAAGTACCTTGAAGACGTAAAGGATAATGTGGCAAAAGTACAAATTAAGTCCGCCAAATATCTCCATTTTTCTCCCCCCTCTCCTTCACACAAGTTTTCATGAAAGTTATGCACCATCCAATCAGATTCGCAATTTAAGGCCATAAATGATTGATGATTTCTCTAAACATATACTATAAAAAGTCATTTTAAGTCCAAAATTTAATTAGTATTATTGATATCATAAATTCGGTCAATAATCTCGTAGAAAAATAGTAAAATGCGAAACTGTTATATAAAAGAAAAGCACAAATGTAATACTTGCTATGAAAACAGTGGGTGTGAAATTCTCATTTATCAAGCTTTTCGAATTGAATTCACTCAATAGGCACATACTTTCCAAATAGCACTTTCATTCGACAACGACGAATAATGCATCCATTTACAAAAAAACCAAAAAGTATTTCAGGGGTAAAGTGTAACTAAGAATTTCGTTATTGAGCGCTCGAGTTAGCTTATAAAAGCTCCGTGACATTTGATAGACAAAAAGGCACATTTTTAATGATGAAAATTGGGGTGTGAGATAGACTTACCTCCACGTGGTGCTCCCTAGGAAACGTATACTCATACGGCAAAAAAGTCTATGAATCGGCAGTTGACTTTTGACTTTAAACTACCATGACCCCACTGTATGTCATATTCGGCCACTTCCACAGTACTCATCTCACCTTTTTCTCTATCCTCGTGTCTGTCTCTTTTACATCTGCGAATCACTCTTCTGTTTCCCATCTCGACCTTTTTTCATTTTGATGTTCCTCCTTAACTTTGTGAAGCCCGAAGTCAACTAAAGGGCTAATGATAACTATCACACGGGCTGCCATTTGATATAAATAAATAAATAAATAAATAAATAAAATCTCATCTAAAATCATGCCTGTGTGCATTTCATGATTTATTAAGAAATAAAACATTTTAGATGGATAAATATTTTCCACTTTGACACTTACTCCTGGCGCAGACTCGTCAATTTATCATCAGGAAGCAGATTCCGAGGATATTTGATATTGAGTCGAGAAAAGTCAACATTGAAAAGGGGGTGATTCATGAACTCCTCCGTACTAAGACGGTAAATCGGCAGTTATACAAAGAGAAAAGCCAACAATAAACAGAAAAAAGAGGGAGAAAAGCTCACTGATATGCATTAATCCACCCAAGCAATTGAACAATCTCAGTATCATTAAGACCCTCGTTAATCAAATTTTCTATCTAATTTGAAACATTAGAATATAAAAAAATTGAGGGCGTACGTGAATGGCGATAGCATCATGATAGATTTCAACAAATCGATCGAAAATTTCGTAATCAGGAGGGAAGAACACTGGACAGATATTCTTAAAAAACAGAAGGCAAATGCATAGACTCAGAGATAGGGAAAAGAATAGCAATGAATAAAGTTAGCCAACCTTTGCAATACGCAAATCTCTCAAAGCATGTTGACGAATTGCTTCATTGTGTCGCACCAAACGAGTTTTCTCATTTTCCGAATCAACTCCACACCCCTGAACACTTAAATCAGAGGAGAAGACATTTGATCAAGTATAATAAACCTACCGATCTTGAATAGTTTTAGCCAATTCTGCAAAAAACTTTCTCCTCCACTCTTTGGGCCGTCCGTCGGGCATAAAACCATTCTTAGCCTGTCTCTTCTTCCAAATCAAATCGGCTCTAAATTAAAATTGATTTAATAATTAGACTAATCAACGACCAACCTTTCCTCTCGATCGATAATACGGATGCAATTAACGCAGAGAACGTTCTGTGTGACCACAGCGCTGGTTAGTGTTGCACCAACATGTTTAATTTTTTCAAGAACTGAAGCATTTAATTCTTCCACACCTTTAAAGAACGTTCTCAAAGTCTATTTTTCAATTAAAATAAGAAAAGATAAAGCTCACATCAAGATCTGCAGACGAATTTTGTTGAAAGACGTCACACATAATTTCGTCTCGTATTCCTTCAAGTTCTTGAATTCTATTTTAAATAAAAAAGATAAATAACCAAAGAACTTTTCTACCGTTTGTGAGCTTCAAGTAGATTTTCGCTCTCAACAAAACTTCTGGCTTCTGCTAAAGTGTCCGGAACTTTAACCAAATAAGACATATTCTCTATAGCTGCGACGAGCTAAAATAATAATAGATATGTAAAAATTAAAGCACAAACCTGTTTGTGCTTCGATGAGATAACGTGCAATTGGTTTAGAGAGGTTGAAAGACTGCTTATTGAGTTTAGAGAATTCTCGATGTCTGAAATGCTGAAAAAGACCATGTAACTAATTGAAGAAAGGAAGCAGAATTAACCTACCGACGGGCGCAAACTTTAGAAATTCCGAGTGCGGATTCCAATTTATCTAGACCATTTTGAATGCTATCAAGTTGACCGTGAACAGCCATCTTCAACTGAGCTTCGGTTGCTGTCTTTACTAGCAATTACATTTTACCATTAAAAAATACCTTCTGGTTAAGAAAACGCGTGCGAATAACATCAATGTTTTCCAAGCTATCGGGTTTCTAAATGTAAATAATAAACGAAACATTTGATACTTAAATCATAAAAATACGTAAAGATTTAAAGAAATCGGAACTACAAAAATATAGAAATATTGCCATACATAACTATATGCGAGTATTAAAATACCTGAAATGCTTCCATAACCCGTTTTTCAGCATTTCGACGAGCATTTTCCTCCAATCGAAATAAGGAATCGGCACAGGAAGACTTCATGTAGACGGCACTTTCGTATCTTGTAAATGTTTGGTTAATGGGTAAAACAAATTAGGCAAAATAACGTATTTCTCCATTACTTACATTAAAAAGTTGACTTGATTTCATTAGTTTAATATATTTTTGTAAGTTATGCACGTTTTCAAATGTTAACTTTTTTATTATAGGTGAAATATATGGGCCACAGAGTAAATAAAGCTACACAAATTTGCCTTTATTTATTCCACGTCGAATGATAAATAAATTTAAATTGATTCCCACCGATTTCCTAATTTTTCGAGAGATGGAGATAACCACGATAATAATATTGCTATCGACAAGCGATCTCCAAAAGACATGGAAGTTAGAAAATACGAACTAAGGAGAATGTCGGAACTATAATATTTACTGACGTCCCTGGTCTTTTTCTGCGAATTTTCACCTATCCAATTAGATGCAATTGATCACTCCAAGAAATTATCAACTTCGACTGAACGAACTTGTAATAAATAAACCTAATTGTTTATCAAAACTATTGCAGTTTCTCGATTACATCCCAATCGATCTTGAGGAACGGTTGAATTGACCATTTTATTCTTTATGCCATGGGTGAAAATAATTTTACCACGAATTTATAAATGTATGGAATAAACAATAAGTAAAGAGAAAGATATAAAGAGAAATTTATCCACAATTCCATCCATTGTGAGGATATATATATAATCGTTTATAATTCCATATCTTTCACATATTTATACGTGAAATCAATCCAACATGCAAAAAATACAAAATGGAAAATAATAAAAAAGATTATTGGTTGTCATTTCCTTTCTAAATTGAGTAATTTTACACATAATGTGCAGTTAAAAATATTATTTAGTCATCTAATTTAATTAGTGACTTTATTTCTATAAGAATTATTATATCTATCATAGTAACACTCTTATATGTCAATTAAGTAAATTATCATATATTGTACATCAAATAGTATTCCATCTCACCAGAAGAAAATCATTGTGTCCATGTTTATTCTACTTCAATAAGTAAATACACAAGCTGTAGAATTTATGAGCCTATAGTAATATATTTTGTATTGTTCGCATTGTGCTAAACAAAACATCCTTTGGTTCTAGGCATACTAAAATGGTTGACGATATATGATATCAGAGGCAACGCTTAAGTGAACCAGTTCTTCAAATTTATGCATCGAAACCACCCAAAAACATAGCATTTTTATCGAATATGATCATCTTGGGAATGAAAACCAAATTTTTCAATTTAAGCTTTTTATAAATAAGTCATTTATTCGTTCCTTGTTTTCCTGGGTTCCTCATGAATCTTTAACGAAATCTCTGAAGAGTACAAAGAGAAATGGTCAGGATACTATTTCGGGATTTCAAGGTTGCGGGGGTTATATTTGTCCAGGTTAATTCGCATTGGATTTGATTTGGGGGAAATGTTAGATCAGGATACAGAGGACAAAAGAATTTTAGTTTCGATTTTCTCTTTTAGAGAAAGGCTGTAAGCTATAATAGCCTCATAAATTGACCTCGATGCATTCAATTCTGAACCATGCGAAAATATCAATGTCTTTTAACCTTGTTATAAACATTCACTTTTATGGATAAATCTGAGACGATATTCAATTATTCAATTTTCTATTGGGTTAATCAAGGTTAAGGTCAATTTCATGGTTAACCAACGAAGTGCTAGATTTCGCACTTTATTTTTACCTTCCGTAGCGTCTCTCCGTGCTTGATTTTTGTGGTAGCTTGTGTTGCTAAGTAGCCACATGCTTTATAAAAAATCCTATTAAAATTTAATTTGTATCTATCATTTTCATATAATTTTGGTACAATGGAAATAAAATTGTCTGAAGACAGTTCTCCTCCCTGGCAGACTAAGGAGACGGACTCAACCAAAGATCCAAAAGTCGATCACTGTGGAATCGGCTTGTGGCGCCCTTCCTGTCTTGAACCCCTCCGTGATATCCGTGCATTTATAGCAGCAATGTGTTTTGTTTCTTGTCTTCAAGCCTCTTTTTCTGGCTACACCAGTTCACAGATCACAACAATCGAAAAGAGATTCGCCATCGGTAGTATCGTTATTGGAACGATAAACTCCTTCTTTGAAGTTGGTTATATTAGCTGTGTTATGATTGTTAGCTATTTGGGAGCCAAAGGACGAGTACCTCTGTGGATTAGTTGCGGTCTTTTTGCCATGTCATGCGGTGCATTTCTCTTTTCAACTCCCCAATTCCTTTTTCCATATAATCCCTCCCTCTCTACACATGGTCATGAACACCTGTGTTCCAAAAATCTTGAAAGTCAAAATTTTTCTTCAAAGACCTATTGCAATACAAAAGAGTTTGGATCGTTTCATTTCCTACCTATTCTCCTTTTTGCGCAATTTCTTATCGGTGCTGGTTCGAGTCCCATTTTAACACTCGCTCCTCCTTTTGTTGACGACCACGTTCCGGCTTCTAAAGCCCCTGCTATGATTGGTAAGTGTTTTTATCGGTAATTGCCTATTGGAGTCAATTTGAGTTAATTTATGTTCCCTTTAGCTTCTCTTTATGCGTCTGCTGCACTTGGTCCTGTATTTGGGTATGCTCTTGGTGCTTTAATGCTTCAGCATCCGATGGATAAGTGGTCAAAACAAAAGGTTATTGGGAGTCAACTTACCCCGGCCTCTGAAGATTGGATTGGTTTATGGTGGGCTGGTTATATCATTCTCGGTCTAGGAGTTTTAATCGGTGCTTATATACTCATAATGTTTCCTCGGACACTTCGCTCTACATTCACTCCACACAAACGCTCTCTGGAGTCATCTGTCATAATACCTGGATCGATTTCTCCATCTCCAGCTCTAGAGGATTCGAATAGGATTCCTATTGGGGTAAATAGTTCTCAAGGGATATCCGGTCAGCAGGCTCTTCCATCATCCTCTTCCTATCAAAATCGGGCCTCTTACCAGTGCCACAAGAGATCATTCTCGGGAAATGTACCTTTCATTTCGGCTTCACCTACTCCAAATAGTAATACAAATTTTTTTCCTCCACGACCTCGTCATCAAAGATCGGCTTCTGTGAGTAGTATCCTTCTACATGCGGCGATTATTGCTGCTACGGCATCGCATGCAGCTGAAGAAGATGAAGCTCTGCCTTCAACAGACACGTATTCGGAAAGCTCTTCCGATGATGAATACTTCAGTGCTTCTCCACATGAAACAGAAAGACCAAGTCAGTCTTTGTATTGTTTATCCTTTGAATGTTTGTTTGTTTTTATTGTATGCTGTAGGTCGTTTATTTTAATTGTATTAGGCATTTCTTTCACTTGTTTACCAAACTTTAGTAGCTTTGAAAAGAAATAAGTGCTATGGATCATCCTATATTTGCCTTGTTTGTGAAGAAATGGTGTGTAGAAGTTAAAAGGGTTATGTAGATTTTTTGTATACTTCATGTGGCAGATTAATTCTTTTAGCTTGAATAGTTGATAAAATATACTGATGTTTTGCTTAGTGATAAATGCGTTCCATTGTATATTTTCCCGGACAGTCTTGTTTTGGTTCGTACGGGTATTATTATAACAAAGAAGGTTATTTTTCCAAGGTACATCTCGTACATGTAGATATGCGATATTGCCCCATTCATTTGCGAGATTACTGTATATCATACGAATCTGACAAGTGGATTCATACTTTAAAGGTTTTAAACTTGACAAAGAATAGGAGGGTTTGGATCTGTGCATTTTCGTTTTTCTTTGTTCCACTTTCTTGTTGATTTCATTAGTCCATTGACTTTATTCTCTTGCTTCCTTCATAAACAAGTTTATTCCTTGTTGAAAGCATCTGAAAATAGCTGCGATAGAACTTAGTGTACCTTATTATTGTAGAAGACGATCCAACTGGATTCGTGTATAGGTGAATTTGAAATCAAAAACTGTTTTCCCTCTGAAAAATTTGGAAAGGAATTTGCTTGAATTTCATATTGTACAAAATGGCGAGATTAACATTTAGGATTCTCACGTTTGAAAAGTTTCACAGGTATCTTTTTTCAGCTATATTCCACTTAAGATGGCCTGTTTGTTACCCAACCCTTAACAATTAAATGAAATTCCCTTTTACTGGTTGACACTTTCACCATCGATTTAAAGTTTCACCCTCTTATCATACCATTGCACGTTCGAATTGGTTTAGTGCGGATGGCTATTTCCTGGTTGTCTGGGTGAATGAAGTGGTGTTCATTAGTACCTCTAGTGTCCTCTTACCTTCTTCTAAATGTATTGAGAATTGTTGTAAATGCACATGATAATCACCTTTCTCATATTTCCTCATTCACTATTAACGGACACTACAAATAGAAGTTCGCATTTGGAATAATTTTTGGTAAGCTAATATCTACACGCCAATATTTTCATATGAATTAAAGTGATAAAAGGAAACTATTATTTTGGAATATTAATACTATTTGAAAGAGGATCACTGTTTCGCCAATTTTTTTATCGATGGAGGGGGAAATCGAATCACAGGATGAAGGTTAGGGGGGGGGGTCATTTGTATACACTGCGATTGACGTCAAGGTGTCTAAAGAATCCAACATTAATTGGGTTTTAGGACTTTGATTACTGAATGGGCGATTCACTCCCCAAACTTCAAATATCACGGCTTTGCAGCAGGTGTTTGTCTACGATGGTCAGTGCTTACTACCCGGCATAGTTTGATCAGAAAGCATTTGTTTCCAAGGTCTGAGAAAGCAAATAATAATAATAATATTCCTCAACCTACAATTCTAACATAACAGAGACGAGATAAAGTTTTATAGAGGCTATCATGTGCAATGTACAGTTCTTTTCGTCTAAAATTGTCTGTTTTCATACGTCTTTCTTTGTTTTTTTTTAGACGAACGGCGAAGTCGAATAGACCAAACAGGCACCAATGAGTCAAAAGTTTTCCATTCCCCAATCTATCGCAGCAAAAGTCTCACAGCTCGTCAACAGCATCAGCATCATCGCCGTTGGGCCTCTAGTTTCTGGTCTTCCTCAAGGTCATACAGTCGATGTATGCCTGCGAGTCGTCTTTCAAGGAGATCTCAAAATACCGCTGACTCTTTGGGTATTCCACCGCCAATTCTGGATGTTATGGTTGAGGATACTACTGCTGAAGCGTCTACAATATCAAATGTTCCAAATGTAAGCTAAATTCTTTTTAATTTAATTAGAATATCTTATACAAAATACTTCCTTATATACAACAATTAAAAATTGTTTTATGAGTGCATTACTTTAAACCGATCAGGACATTTTCCCATGAGATGTTTTCCTTGATATCTAGGCTCGGATTTCGACATGCCTAATTGTGTAATAATTTGGCTTTTGTGTTTGTCATACCGCTTAACATATGTAATTGCTCAAATGCAAATATTAAAAATTTCTAAAGTTAAAATTTTTACAGTGCTTAAATTAGAATATTCTGAATTTCTTCTAACATATGAAAGCATTATGCCGTAATCAAATATTTCTATTATCTCTACACTTGGAGGATTGTTAACCTTTTCAGTTAGACTCGAGACTTGAGAGGGCAAAGCTAACACATTTACCCAGCACCAAACAGTGAACCGAACCATGAAAGGTAGAATAACGTCCATATTGGGAAAGATTTTTCAAAATACCTATCTAAAATGGAGAGGCGTAGTGTCATGGAGCCGACTTAGGGAGAAGCTCGAAATCTACCACCCCGTTTATCCACTACGGCTAACAACCACTATTGTTATGTGTTTAATTTTAGCTTACTAGACATTTTACTTAAATAGTTATTGTTTACCAAAACTCTAAAATACCAAAAATACGTATTGCTTAACTAGTAGTTTAAGCAATTAATGCTTGGTGCCGTTTTTTGTTTCTTTTCCTCGTGTTTTAATGGCGTCTAAGATCTAGATCAACTTGACATATCCATGATTTCATAATTTGCTATTTTTTCATTACTACATACGAAATTGTGAAAATAAGACGGTATTCCGGTTTGGGAATCCAAAATTTTCCTGCCATATTTCATTGAGCATTCACTTGCATGTTATGGGAATCCTATCCCAATCCGCCTGTCAATATTTTAATTTTATTTGTCATTATCATACCTGCATGTTTCCCCCCCCCCCCCTATTTTTTTCTACCGAAAGTGGTATTCTTAATCGCACGTTGTTTTAATGAAGATAATTTCTCTTTTGTTGCAGTTTTTAATGATCTTCCTTTAAATTGAAGTGGTTAATTTTATAACACTTTTTCATGCATTATTTCGCGATTTGGAGATTGGATGTTCTGTATTCTAAGCTCTCGTTAGCTATTTTTTTTAAAAACTTAATCTAATGATAGTGTTAATTTTGGCCTGATTCTCTCACATTTGATTATTTTTATGACTTCCTTATATGCTGCTAACTAGGTCATTTTACTTTCTAAATCATTCAGATCTTTTTACCCTTGTACTATTCTCCCAATAATAACATGTGGACTTTCTGGGAATTTAAAGCATCCTCGTTGTAGACTCTTTTAATTAGAATTTCCAAAACTCAGAAGCGAAATACTGATGGCACTTCACTTAGGTGGAGTAACTACATCCTGTAGTCTTTACCCCCCACCCATAGAGAATATTTATTTATTTCAAATGGCAGGCGTTTTGATAGTTATCATTAGCCATTTAGTTGACTTCGGGCTTCACAGAGAAGAGGAGGAACATCAAAGTGGCAAAAAGTCGAGTGGGGGGGGGTAGAATAATGATTCACAGATGTAAAAGAGTCAGACAAAAGAGCAGAGAAAAGGTAAGATGAGTACTTTGGAAGATGTCGAATTTGACATACAGTGGGGTAATGGTAGTTTGAAGTCAGAAGTCAACAGCCAGTTAATAGGCTTTTTGGCCGTATGAGTCTACGTTGTCCAGGGTGCGCCACTTGGAGGTAAG